GGACGGACATGTCAGCAATACCTTACTTCCCTACCAGGTGTCGCTTGTGGCACCATTCTTCGGAGGGATTTTGTAACAAGAGAGGGGATTATCCTAGACCTCGCAATGGAAGAATACCGGTGTGGCTGGAACTCAACCCCTTTAAGTTTTCCAGTGAGACCTCAGGCAATTCCAGAGCGTCTACCACCAGGCAAAGCACGCCGTTCTGAACAAAATGCAGACGTTTCGCTGATCAACGACGTAGGACAAAATATACATGTAGCCTTCAGTTCATTCTCTGGGACAGATATTCAGCGCGAACGTCTTGCGAAAGTGCTGAAGCTGCTTTCTTACATGTTCACTGAGATTCCCGGGAAGACTAATATACTAGAACATCAAATCAATACCGGGGATGCCCGACCAATTCGATTCAATGCGCGCCCCTTGAGTGTTCATAAAAGAGAGCTGCTTGACCGCGCGTTAGAATAAATGATCAATACCAAAACGGTACGCCCCTCAAACTGTCCGTGGGCCTTTCCTATTGTCCTGGCGCCCAAGAAAGATGGAACAGCGCGTTTATGCGTGGACTCTCGACCTCTTAACGCCGTAACGAGAAGGGATGAATACCTTTTCCCATCGATCTCGTACGTAATGTATGCACTGGGATCGGCAAGTATTTTCACCACTCTTCGACTGTAGTAGAGGGTTTTTCCAGATTCCTGTCGCGAAGGCTGACCCTCCTAAATGGCCTTCATTTGCCGTAGGGGCCTATTTGAATTCGATCGACTTCCTTTTGGCCTGTCTAATTCTCCCGCAAGTTTCCAGAGGGTCAGGGACACCGTCTTGAGGGATAATAAATTTAACTGTGCAATGGCTTGCATGGACGACGTAGCGGCGTTTTCAAAGACCTTGGACGACCACATTACCCATTTTCAGGTTGTTCTGCAGCGGATGAATGATGCAGGACTGACAATTAACCCAAAAAAAGTACATCTGGCTTCAAGTAGGGTAAAGCTTCTTGGATTCGTGGTGGAGCATGCAGAGCTGTCAACCCTACAATGCTGAACATACTACAGGGGATGTCGAAAACACTACAATCGTGTGAAGAAATACAAAAACTGTTTTATTCTCCAAGAACTTGGTTTAGGTAAGAAACATTCCTCAACTAGGGCACGAACACATAATACATTGCACAAAATGTCTTTTTCTTTAGAAGTTGAAGGTTGGGCCAACACTGAGGAAGTTGCAGCTTTTGCTTTTCTTAGGAAGTTGTTGTTGAACATTTGTTCATGGCACTTTCCGGACTGGCTGCACCTCACAACTAACAAGTGTTCAAGGGTCTTTTTTTGACATAGAGGAGCGAAACTGCGTTTGTGCCTTCTTCACTTTGCTGAAAACTCTTTCGCCTGTGCCTGGTTTAACGAAGACGTCAAAGAGCAAAGTTCTTGCTGTTTAACGTCTCCACAACAACCACTGTGAACGGCATGTTGTGCTTGATCAAAAATGCCGTAAAAAGGCATTCTGCCCGGGGAGTGTTGTAATCCGTTGATCGACTAAAGTACCCTCGAAGCTTCTCCTAGGTTTCAACTAATTTTGCAGAGTCCTTGTGCTTTTTTGTATTCAAATGACAGAGACCAGCGTGCGAAATGTTGACATCTCGGGGACACAGACTACCAGATCCGTAGCTTTCGCCCTCACGCGACGTCTTTATAAATGGAAAGTTGGTTGAATAGCTGGGAATAAACACTTGCAAGTATTTTTTCCCGACATCTTGTACCAAAGATGGTTTCAACGGATCATGAGTAAAAGTTCCAGTAACACAAAGCACAACTTTCGCCACAATCCACGTCGCCACAACAAAGGGGATTTCTTAAACAGCATTGGATTAAGATGGATGGATGGATGTTAGCGGCTATACAACCCCTTAGAACACTGACCTCAATGACAATTGCCTCACAACGAGGAGCGGTATAGCTTCCGCGTCCTGGCATACAAGTGAATGTATCAGTGTTGCCAACCCCAACTTGTAAACAGGCGAGAAAAAAAAAATTTTTTTTACTCGGGGTGCGGAAAATCGTAAAAATATTGTTGTTAATAAGATGACCGTAAGAAAGCGCTGGAAAGCGGACACTTTACGATAAAATCGTAAAACTTGGCAGGTATTATGGATTCTTCCATCCACAGGAGGAGAAGTTGAAAGCAATGATAAAATTTCTCACTCCTCAGGACAAAAAGAGTCTACAGTGATATTTTAGCATGGTGGGATTCTAGCGCTAATTTATATCGAACTGTGCCGATTTGGCACGACCTCTTCATGAGCTGCTGGGCCGGGATGTCCCATGGAATTGAACTGCCGCTCACGAGTAAGCCTTTAGAACGCTGGCAGTCGCCATTGCCGATACAGCGTCCCTCAGACTTCCCGATCTGAATGCCACATTTGTGCTACAAACCGACGGCAGCGAGCACGGACTAGGAGTAGTGCTTCTACAGGAACATAATGGGGCCTTATGACCCGTTGCATTTGCGAGCCACATACTGTCGGCAGCGGAGCGTAACCATACCGCCACCGAAAAGGAGTACCTAGCAATAATATTTCCCTAAAGAAGTGCGATATGTACCTTGACGGAGCCACCTTTACAATTCAGACGGACCACCAAGCGTTGACCTGGCTGAAAAATCTTAAAAACCCAGCAGGACGTCTAGGTCGACGGGCTTTCACCTTACAGGGATACAATTTCTCCATTGAGTGTCGGCCTGGCAAATCCAACATTGCGGCGGACGCCTCGTCTCGTGCCCCCCTTCCACCCCAGGAAAAGGAAGAAGCGACGGAGTTGGTCGCTGTTACTAACGAGGAACTTTCCTGGGGTGTAGTCGTGACCCGGGAACAGCTGCTAAGAGCCCAGCGAGCAGACGATCTGTGCCAGCAGATATTTACGCGGTTAAATCAACTCAGTTCAAGGGGACAGGACATGACTGATGCATCCACAGACACCTACGTCCAGAGTAACGATGGCGTTTTACTTCGATGCAGACCTCAAGCAGGTGAGGGTGACCCTACCACGTCGCCATTCCGTGTAGTCGTGTCGAAATTATTACGACGTACTTTTATAAGTTACTTTCATGAAAGTGTCCTGGCAGGTCACAGTGATGGGGAAAAAACACCAAAAGCTCTGCCGAATTGCACCCTTGCCTCGAATGAACCTTGTTGTCTTGCGTTATACCCGCAGCTGCCCTCAATGCCGGACAGCAAAACCCCGAGGCTGGAAGCCCCTGGGTTATATGCAGTAGGTTCAGAGTCATCGTCCTTGGGAAATTGTTGCGCGTGATATCACGGTCCCATTTCCACGCAGCCCAGAAGGCAGCAGGTACCTCCTTGCGGTCACTTAACACTTCTCCAAGTGGGTCGACCTTCATCCCCTGCGTCAACTTACGTCCAAGATGATATGGGACAAACTTCGAGAAACTATTTTCCCGGTTTGGGTATCCTATTGTCCTTTTAACAGACTAGGCCACCTACTACGCCAGCACTGTATTTCCAAATTGTTGTGAGATTCTCGGTTTCCAACATAATTTTACTTCCCCTTATCAGCCCCAGGCCAATATCGCTGAAAGAGTAAATCGCAACCTCCGGGCAATGCTAATTTTGGACTCTAACGAAAACCGCAACTGAGACTCTTATATCCCAGAGATGGCCTTTGCTGCCCGTACCACAGAAAACTGAACCACGGGATTCACACCGGTACGATTGAATTTTGGTCGGGAGCTCAGAGTACCCATGGAAAACAATATAGAGCTTGCGCCAGATGCTCGTCCGCGCCAATCATACATAAGGTTTGCGCAAAGAATCTGCGATAATATTCGAAATACAGTGAAATGGACCGAGGGAATATCAAACTAGCCCAATCACGACAACGAATTCAATATAATAAAGGCCGGAGAAATGTCGAATTTTCTGTTGGAGATCTAGTTCTCCGACGCACTCACCAACTCAGTAACGCCAGCCAAGGATTTTCCGCTTCACTCGCCAAACGAAGGGACGGGCCATTCGTGGTCGAAACGCGAATTACGCGCCTCGCATATCGAATACGGTGCCCCATAATCGGCGCACGCGTTGGACCTGTTAACATCGATCATTTGAAACATTTTATTGAACGTGGCGAAAAGTGTTGAGAGTTCAATAACGTCGTCTCCATCTAGTCTAATTGTGCCTCCTCTTGACCTCGACTATCTGCAGCCATGCCGCCAGACCGACCATGATCATGGTCACTCCCCTCACCCCCGCGGCGGTCCTCTTACCATCGGTCGCGCTCCCCCGGCAGCCGCAGTCTGGGCCATCGGCCGCCTCCTCAGCACCCACGGCGACGCCCCCGAAGCCATGAAGCTGCGACGTGGTGCATCATGGAGCATCACAGCCTCGTGGGGTTCGCTTGCCGCCTGCGCTCGGACCAAGAGCCACAAGTCCCACAAACACTGGCGCCGGCCGACGTCCCAGCCCCATTCCAGGGACGCACCCTGAATGAGTGGTGCGCAGAGGACACACCGTTGACCTACGCCGACGATGAGCGTGCCGGGTTATGCGCACTGTGCCAGGTGCCCGTGATAGCGGGGAGAGTCATCTACACGCGGCCCTCGACACCGAGCGCCGCCAACGACTAGAGAACAATGCATCGGCAGCAACTTGGCCGCTAACATCCGCCGACGTCGAGGCGGCGCTTATCGTCATGTCGAGATTGTGCCCCGAAGAGGCTTAGGGCGCCTTAACAGGCAGCACACGCACACGAAGATGTCATGCTTGACGAGCTTTAATCCGCCTCTTTGCCCCCTCCCTCCTGCCTTATTCAGCAAGCCAACGGCCCCGAACGCGGTATAGGACACCGGACGTGCTCAGACCATACGATTCCGAGGACGCCGGGAGTGCATATCCCAGCGGACAGGCACAGTCGCTACAGAGCCGCAGGAAGAGGAGCGGCCGGCAGAGCCCTTCTCGAGCAGCCAAGCACTTCTCTGCCAACGCCGTAGCGATGAGTGGATCGGGCATCCGAGTGGACGTTAACACCACGACCACAGTGAACGTCTCTCGTTCTAGCGCACGCGTCGAGAGTCCACACTTTTCACTCGAAGCTCAGAGCGCCAAAAGCCAGAATCTGCTTCCACCGTCCTTCCCGCCAGCCGTCGCGCCGCCCCAAGCTCACCCATTCGCACCCTTTCAAAGATTCTTTGCACCCCACGTCAGATACCGTTCGGAGTCCCACTACCATCGTACGGTCCTCCGGACATCTTCGAAAAGCTCAAGACACGCAAGACCGCCATGGGAGCCACCTTGGTCAACATCATACAGTCCGGCGTGGAGCATTTCGACAGCGAAGTCGGCATGTGCGCCCCGGATGCCGAGTCGTACACGCTACTCGCCTGCCTGTTCAACCCGGTGATCGAGGACTACCACGGCGGCTTCAAGGCGACCGACAAGCCCCCGCTCACGGACTTCGAAGACCTCAGCAGCTTGGTGAACGTGGACCCCGACGACCAGTTCGCCATTTCCACCGGGGTGCGCTGCGGACGCTCGTTGCAGGGCTACCCTTTCAACCCGTGCCTGACGGGGGCCCAATACCGCGAGATGGAGGAGAAAGTGAGCTCGACTCTGCGCATGCTGGAGGGCGAGCCGAAGGCCACCTACAACCCACTGACCGGCATAGACAAAAAGACGCAGCAGCAGCTGATCGAGGACCACTTCCTCTTCAATGAGGGCGACCGCTTCCTGCAGGCGGCCATCGCTGATATCAAAACCAAGCGCTCCCCTTCCCCGAAGGGGGAAGGAATGTTTGGGGAACGGAAAAAGACGAGAATAAAGAGGGCAGACAACCGGGGTGCGAGCGGGCACGCGCGGTGGTCGGAGCTTGAACACCGCAAGGACTGCTGTTCGTTTTCTTGTCTCCACAAGTTTTATTCGCCATCCGTGCATTGTAGGCTAAACTCAGATATTGAAGGAAGCACATTGCATCTCAATAATATAAAAATTTTAAACACTTAAGCAGCCCGGAATGTGAAACACTGCGACGCCTGAGGTGGGACGTAAGAGCCGCTAAGGTGTCATTTCGGAGCAGATGGACGGAATGAGCGGTAAAGTTGCAAGCGCGCACCGTAGCGTCTGCATGGGCGGTTCCTACTAAACCGTGTAACAGACCGGACGAAAATTCCATAGTGTTTTGGAACCAATGACGGTGCATTAACTAGCGAGCATTTCGTGAAGCTGTTAAAAATGTTAGTAGGCACAAACTCGTAATGACTTGTGGAAATTGAGGAACACTTCAAAAATGACGCATCCATGTTTGAAATCCTGGGAACGACGAAGTTGCACGTGTATGCATGAAGCGTTCCCTGACGTTGCTGTGGCTGCCTGAACGTCTTACGCGATGTTAGTGGACACAAACTAACACAGCCTTGTGGTCGCTGAAGAACACTTACAAAATAGTGCACTCAGGTTTCAAGCGTGTAGCTCGATCCAATTTCACGCCCGTGTTTTAAGGTTAAAAGCGCAAGGCCAATCATGCACAGAGACACAGAAAAGGAGAAACACACGCCCTGACTTAGAACTCGTTTTGTATTATGTTACTTTTTTGTTCTCGTCATTGGGTTGACTTTCCTAATCTCCATGACCAGCACAATAGCACGAATACAGGAAACACTTCTAAATATGCTTCTGAATCCTCAGCGCAATTGTTAGGGTAAAATTAAGAAAAAAAGTCAGCACACCGCCAAGCTGGTTGTGCAAAAGTCCACCTGAAGAGCTTTGTTACTTGAATCGAGGGGGTAGTTTCTTCTATTACATTCTCATATATAGGACAAACCGGCAGGTGTTGAAACGATGGTTTAAGAAAGAATTTTTACAACGCCTACAAAGTCGTTTCGGGACACCTGGGCATACACTATAAAAATTGTGGATGCGTTCCGAATTTTGAAACAATGTTCTGTAATAGGAAGAAGTCAGGACCCGCTGGCCAGAAAGATAATGGAGGCTCAAAAAATAGTGCTTCTCGCTGACAAGTTTGTTAATAGTCTGTCCTTAACACTGTCTCAAAAAGAGCTGAAATTTTTATCCCTAATATTGAGGTAAGAATTTAGAAGCATATTTAGAAGTGTTTCCTCTATTCGTGCTATTGCGCTGGTCATTGAGATTGCGAGAGTCAACCCATTGACGAGAACAAAGAAGTAACAGACAACAAAACGACTTGTAAGTCATCGCGTGTGTTTGCCCTTTTGTGTGTCGCTGTGTGTGATTGGTCTTGCGCTGTTAACCTTAGAATATGAATCACCCACTCGCCCAAGTTTCCATTTTATCACGCCCGTGGTTTCGCCGGTTTAACACCCACCTAGCTTGTTTAGTCTTGTTGCTCGAGAACCTTTCTGGGCATACTTAGCGAAAAAGCTTCGTTTTTATTATTTCAATCAGTCGTAGTTTCATGTTTGTTTCTGTTTGCCTTCATGGCGTGACGAGACGACATCATGTCACGTGACATCACAACATCACGAGACTCATGGTATCACCTGACGTCATAAAGTGGCGTGGCTTTACTGTGCAACGTGACGTGACATGATAAAATGCCACGTCATGGTATCAGCTTACGCCAGGTAACGGGTGATATGAGGCGCGGCGTGACGACTCCGGCGTGACGTCATGTGGAATCTTTTGGCGGAGGGCCGAAAATGGCCCGCGTCGATATAGAGCGCGGTCGACGGCGCGAAACCCGCGAAGTGTGCCGCTAACTGCTATCGCAGCAAAATGTAATACTGGCGTTTCGTTTTACACAAATATGAACCATTGCTATGTGGGCCTTCATAAAGAATATAATTTATTAAGTAGCTATTTCGGCTGGTGTGTTGTTGTATGAAATGTCTCATCTGGAATTTTTTTTTCCTGCAGAAGGTTTGTTAAATATGTGAAACAATTAAACGTTATCTCACATCCTTGCGCAAAGTTAAAGCTGATCTAGTCTTTCTTTTGCTTGTTTATATTGATTTCTTAAGATAAAACGTAAACTATCAGTACGTTTCTTACATCTTGGCCAATCTGTTGAGATTCCAACATAGTTTGCAAATAAAAAGTGCTCAAACCGACAAGTGCAGGGTTGTATGCTTGCATGCGAACCAGACGGAGAAGTCATGATTTGCCATTTTACAAATCCTCTGCAAGGAAAATGTAACAAACAAAAACGGTGATATCATGCTTGCGTAAACGTCGTACACCAGTGTCTCAGTGTTGGGGATTGATTATTTCAGGTAAAACACAAAATACACATATTCTATCGCTTCCTAAGTTAGCCTTAATCAACCTTCGATTAAAATAGGTTTTCATGGTCCACGGTCCTTCGAGCGAAATTTAACCTTCTCTAGAAATTTAGGTTCTTAAAAAGATCGAAGACGACAAGGCATACCTTAACTTGATATGCTTTGACCCGTCTTGGCTCCAATTAGCCAAACAATGGCCATAGTTTGGCTACACTGCTGGAAGTTTGGCTGTTGTCTGCAATCCATTTGGCCTAAAGCACCAAGAAAGCGGCAGGGTTTTGCGTCATATCTGGCTGTTCGGTTTTTATGTGGAAACTTTGGACCTTTATTCCAAACGGTGTGCCAGATTGAGGCTTCGCTGCTGGTTATTTGGTTCATGTGTTGCAGGGATGGGCAAAATACATGCAAATATGTATCGAAATACAAATACGAAATACTTCGTCAAAAACGTATTTAATTATAAATCTAATAACATTTCCAAAAAAGCATTTAAATACAAGATACAAATACAACCAAATGTATTTGGTCTTCTCCAAATACTTTTCCAAATACATTCCTCAAAATTTGCGTCAGCGACTTCAGGGCACCTGCAATGGGTTTCTGGGTATCTCATTTTAATTTTGTATCGCACACTCGGGAGTTAATGTGCAAGGCTCTAATAACGTAATAGAAATACAATCACAAAAAATTGTAATCAGCTTGGACGTGATAGGTGAAAAAAGTGCAGAGCTTCAAGCAGCTTTTTCAAAGAACCGAGACGACCAAGACGCGTAGCACTAGCCAGAGAATTTTTTATCGTTGGAACTCGCACCAGTTACAAAATTCTGGATGACCCGCGCATTTAGAATGTTCCAGGCAAAAATATGGATGGAAATCAGGCTGGAAAGCATCACAAGTTCTCGCTGGCACTTATTTAGCCAGTCTGCCAGTGAACGTCGACTTCGTCCCTATTCTTGCCCTGGACTAGCACCGTAATCACAAAGTCACTAAACGCTTGTGCTTGATTGAGAGACACTGCATTCAGTGAAGAACCTAGTTTTCTTCCTGCTCTGGACACGTCCTAGGATGAGCAAAATGAGTCGTGGCAATAAATTTGAGGGATGTATTTTTGACCAAAAAATTGTATTTAATTACAATTGTATTTGAAATACCCACGTTTTATTATTTAAATACACACGTAAAACACTTTACCCAATTTGTAATTAAATACAAATGCAAAATACACAAAGTATTTGAAATGCGTATTTCAAATACTTGTATTTGAAATACTGCCCCTCCCTGATGTGTGGCATCTTAAGTTTACTTTCGCAATTGTTCAATTATAAAAAAAGCGACCAAAAAGTCCTAGCAGCACCAGAAAACAGTACCTTGGCACTCACTAACGCCTCGGAGTAAAACTGTAGTAGGCACAAGGTGGGCCCCAGGGATTGCCGAGCTTGTGGCAAGCTAGGCCTTTCCCTAGTACGCTATGGGGTCGAAATTGGAAAAGGCAGCATTTAAAAGTAAGAGAAATCAAGCTGGTAATACAACAAATGATGATGAGGCAGTCATAAACTAATGTCAGTGCACCGGCAAGATCATCGGAAGCGTTTCTTTTTTTTTATATATATATGATAAAAAGTCAGGATTATAAGTTTATAACTACATAAACAACCGAATTTCTGTTTATCCCTTCCGGTTGTGTACGTATATTTACCAGCACGCTCGTTTTAATGTTCTAACTACAGATCGTGTGTGCTTTGAAGACCAAACAAAAACTACTGCTTCACAATGAGTAATCAGGAGCTTCTGACTCCCGTTTTTTTTATTTTTAAGCTATTTGAAGACAAAAAGTCTAAAGCTACAAGTATAGTGACTGTGAGTATCATTCCACTGGTAGCGTACGGCGGCTTCTTGAGATATGCGGGATCGAAGAAAATTGAATTACGTTGATAATATGCCAATAGGTGCGTGCGTGCGTGCGTGCGTGCGCGTGTGTGCGTGCGTGCGTGCGTGCGTGCGTGCCTGCGTGTGTGTGTGTATGTTTGTGTATCTTATCTCTTCGTGTGAGTGTCAGGTGACAACGAAAAACTGCATTGGAAAGTTCTTTGCGTGAAATGTATACCGTAGACTCGAATGATCCTACAGCCAACTTTTTTACATACTTTTTTTGTAATTTGCCCGATATTCTTGTTTTTGCTACCCAACGGAAATAGAAGTCGTCTCCTTTTGACGCTTGCTAACTGTACCCGCCCGTCTTTTGCAATTTCAAGTCATGGGCAACAAAAGCAAAATAAAAAAAGGAGGAATAAGCCAGAGTTGGTTTCAACCGTAACGCCGCCCTCGGTTTCGTCGACTTAACGGCGATGAAAAGATTTTCTCCCTTTTCTCAATATCCTGAAGCGCGAGCTATTCTACTGAGTTCTCCTTACGACACCCAAATGCACAGGCGGTTCTGTCAGAGCTCGTTTACCTTTGCGGGGCATAAAAGAACAGAAATTGCCGCAGGCGGCTGTCAGTGGCAGCAGCCTAAATTTGGCTGAAACTATTTCCACTCGTATTGTGCTCTATCAAAGAGGTAGACGTAAAACAAAGTTGTGAA